AGAAATAACAACTTCAGGTAGCAGTAACCTGGTGGTTCTGTGCCAGTTCTGTCACACAGTTTGTCATAAGGGGAGGTCTCACTCTCTACAACCGCCTGGAAGGAGCTTGTAACGAGGGGGGGGTCGGTCTCTTCTCCAAGTTACAAATGATCAGACAAGAGGAAATGCTCTCAAGTTGCACCAGGGGAGGTTTAGATTGCATATTTAGGAAACAGTTCCTCACAGAAGGGGTTGTCAGGTATTGTCCAGGTTGCCCAGGGGAAGTGGCTGAGTCACCATCTCTGCCTGGAACTATTTTAAAGATCTGCGGATATGATGCTGAGGGAGTGGTTTATTGATGGCCTTGACAGTGCCAGGTTAACAGTTGGACTTGATGATCTTAAAGGTCTTTTCCAATGTAAATTAATTTTATGACTCTGTAATATTTCCTTCATTTGTCTTGTTTACCCTACTTGTATGGCATAAACAAATACAAGGAAGTTTAATGAAAAATTAGTTCACCATCTTTCCTCTCTTCTTAGATATTTCCACCTTACACTTAAAAAAAAAATTCTACTATTAGTATTTCCTAGCATGTTTGTTCATTTGAGATGAGGAAAAAAGTGAACTTTAATTCTCATTCTTGTGGTACTAAGTGATAAAAAATAAGCAAATACCATTAAGCACTCTGACCATTTGCCAAAGAAGCTGCAGCTCATATTTGACAATGGTATCTAAGATTTCTCTATAGAGAAGCCATTATTGCTCCAGATGCCACTTTGAAGGTTTTAGGCATTTAAATTTAACTGCACACACCAGACTTTAATTCTTATATATGCACAATACGGCTCCTCTGTACAATAACCGCAGAGCACAAAATTCAGTCTCATAAGATGAAAGTTATATCCATATACTAGAGAATTTTGACAAAATAAAACACTTCAGACTGTATATGCCAAGACTTCCTGGCTAAAATTTCAGAATTTTAGAAGCAGTTTTGGAGTGATGAAAAGCAATACAATTACATTAGCTTTAAAAAACTGCCCTCTAACTCTGCTGAATTTAAAGATGACCTTAACGTTACAGTATTTTACAATAACAGAGATGCATGCTGGAGGCATAAAACATTTAATTTTTTTGTACTTGGGCCGCTGTACACCAAATAGTAGACCATTTTTTAAAAACTTTAGAAATATGAACCCAGTACACTGACAGGAAGGTACCTGCAGGTAGGACTACCTCAGCTTTGCTCTACACTTGCAGATGAATTTTGCCATTCTCAAAGTACAGAACACTCATACCTTTTAAAATCCAGATCAGTTTTACCTGTGACATATAACTTTTGTGTGTCCCATGGTTCTCTCAACTTTCTTTCATTGTACTACCCACAGAAATTTTAAATTATTAAATGCATAGATTTTAGAAGTTTTAAATTAACTCTACGGTTGCCACCTTATCCATTTGCTATTAAAAACACAACTTTCCTATTAAAAGTGAAGACTAGTCTGAACATGTTAGATGCATGTAGAGATTTTCAATACTTTCACTACTGTTATTATGTGCATACAGAGCACATGGAGAAAAAAACATTCACCGACTTTTGCCTTGCAAACATATTCCCCTTCTTGAACAATAATAATCCTTAGTGCCTAAAACTGGAAGTTTCTGCTATTAGAGAACTATCTCATGAAGATGTTCTCCAGTATCCCATGTTTAATAAGAGTTCACTATCATTACTTAGCTGTTAAACCAGCACAGATGACTTTGCCCTTTATTCCGTGTCATCATATAAGGACATATTATAAGGACATCACTATTGGAAAGGTTTTTCTCAATAACAAACAAGTCAATGCAGAAAATGCCCCTAGCTTAATTTCTGAGCCATCCAGACCAAGGCTTATATAAGCCTTAACACTAATAAAAATCACAGAATATTGAACAACAGTAAAACAACTTCTGCTGCACAAATTGCGCACTTTCTTGATTTTGCGTCTTTATTCCATTACTTGTACACCCATCAGTGGATGGCTATAAGTTGTTCAGAAGGGACAGGCAAGGGAGTAGAGGCAGTAGCATGGCTCTGTACACTGGGAGTGTTTTGACTGTACAAAACTCAAAGATAGGGATGATAAGGTTGAGTGCCTGTGGGTAAAAGGAAGAAAAATATGCACACCACAGAACAAGATTGCAATCTAAAATATCTTCAGAAATACCTCAGTTCCTTTATTATCTTGTACTACAAGTTTTCTGATTACAAGACAAGAAAAGCTGAATTTATTTCTTTAAACTTTAGTTTCATTATTTATGTTTCTTTCCAGGTATCAAAATTCCTAGTTCAAATAAAGTGTTTCCACAAATAGTAGAGCTTAATAGAGATTTAAGGGCAGAAATCAGTTGTCTTCACATATACTAACCTCAGTATACGTAGCTTCAACATAAAAATATCCATAAATAGAACTAGTTTTGAAGAACAATATACACATTAACCTGTAAGAAAACCTCACTACAGAGAGGAATACATATCGCTGGAAGTATAATACCCACTATAAAAATAGCAGCTATAAATAAGATTTCATTGGCAGTGTAAGGTACTACCTCATCTCATAGTCTTCCCTTTCTCATCAGCTTCCGTAGATTCCTAAAGAAGTAAACCACAGGAAAGATTTCCTTAAACATCAGTTTTCTGCAGTATGACCTACCAATTTTGCTGCTTTTCCATAATCAATCCATCGAATGGTGGCAAAGTTTGTTGACTCCGCACAGTTATATCCATGGTTAAATCCCGCATGATATCCATATGGGAAAGTGATCACAAATTCTCCTGCCTCTTGCGTTATCTGTAATATTAAAAAAAAAAAAAATTAAAAAAACCTTAAAGTGATCCACATTACAAAAGCAGTTCTGGTCCTAAAGCAATGAAAACTACATTTGCCTTTACAACTAACTGAAAACATAAGACTTTTCCCTCACCTCGCAGGGAAATGAGGCTTAATGCAGGCAGTAACAGTACACTTGAGACAACGTTCTTTACTATAAAATACATGTATGTAACACTTTACAAATTCAGAAACAACATTCAAAAAAGCTAATATTGAAGCAGGGCTTCACTAGTAATAAAACCCAGAAGTAAAGGGAACTAGAAAGGACAGTATGAAGAATTTCTACTGGTTGAGAGGAAGCAGAGATACTCTGGAACAAAATACCCCAACTATCATTCCTAAATAAACTAATTATTTGTAGAACTTATTCTGTCCACCACTCTGAAAAAGTTTCTCTAAAATGGTACCAAAAATTTTCTTCAAAAGACTGGAGAGAGATCTTATTCTCACTCTTCTCTCCTATACTCACCGATTTCAAAAACTGTGATTCAATGACTTACGACTGAGAGTCTGATTAGCCTTCTAAGTTCCTTCCCATCCTATTTTATGCAAGAAAACATAAAGTAGGAGAAACTCTAAGGTGAGGAGCCTTAGCAGTTTAGGAAAACAATGTTGTTCATCCCAAAGGAACACACTGGAATACCTCAGGCAGTGTCTTTAAGTGGGGAGAGGGAAGAAGGAGAAGAAGAATTAATGAAAAATGCCGTGTACCAATTCTTAGGCCATATAGCTGTGGCAGTGTGCTCTCCTCAGCCCAAGCAATACCCACCAGTGGCAGTTATAATGGCTGCATATGGTTTAAGACGACCTTTGGGAAGATGGATGGCAACACAGTGGCCAGGGGTTGCCTTGTGCAGTGACCCAGATATCTTGTTGGTATGTGAATATGACTGTAAGCCAACCATCCTCCTCCATAAACAGTGTCCCAGCCCAGGGCAGAGGCTGCAGCCAGCATTTGCCCTTGAATAGGGACACTTCTCAAGGTTACTCCTCAGGGCTGAGAGACTTCTTGCCATGTCAGATATTTTGTCAAGAGAATTGGGAGTAAGCATACTGAAACTTTGTCATCTTAGCTAAGTGATGTAAAGGGTTGATAGTGCATGTTTAATCCTTTAGACATGAAGAGTTGACCAAGTCTGGTGACAAAGTCTTGATCCAGCTCCTCCCAGACTGCCCTATGAAAAGGAGCTTAGAAAGCAACAGGGTCCTCTCTGAATCTGTGACTGAAGAGGATGGTCTCCCTGACAGCTCTGGTTGATCCTGTCCCGTATGCAATAAATTCTTGAATGTATGTTGCCATCCGACCTCGTTAAACCACTGTCACATTAACCACTAAACTTTGTAAACTCTTGTAAGTGAAGTGTAGCACACTCTTTCCATGACAACAGCTGCTATCACCAAGCAGATCTTTGCACTGGAAATCCCATGTAGAATGTCTCAAGATAAAGCTACTAAAGCACCGCTTTAGACATTAAATGTAAAACAAATTTTAATCTGCCACTTCTTTAATCTTCCCCTCTTTAAGCAAAATTTCAGAGAGCAGAAACACTCTGGCATTACTGGTAACAAGATTTACAAATAACTAAAGGACAAGGGGGATAAAAGATGATTCTCTAAGAAAAAATGCTTGACTACAGTTAAGCTCTAACATTGTCTTAGAGTTTAAGCAAGGGTAGTTTTAAAGAAATACACTGGTCTTTACAAGTGCAACCAAAAGAAAAGCATGCTAAGGCCACTGGCTCAACAAGAAATTAAAAAAGCAGATAAAAAAAAGAAAAGAAAAAGCCCCAACTAACCAACCAAAACAAAAAAAAAAATACCTAAAAGCCACTGCCATGGTAATTATAATTTAGTATATCCAAAAATAAACCATTTTCCTACTTCCTGGTTTTAAAAGATACATCAGATTTAAAGGGTTTCTTTAAAACGTGTGGTAAACAAATCACAGGTCAAGATATTCCCTTTCAAAAGAGAAATCTCATCTCCCTCTACTAGGATGGACCGCTGCTCTCCTTTGGACACAGAGAAGAGACAGCACTTCTGTCAGTCACTAATATTCTCTCCACACAGAGACAGCTGTAATCAACTGAAGTCAGACCACCAAAGACGGTATCAAGGACAGGTTAGTCAGAGACTTGAAACTGCACATTGTCTTCCGAACTATCTGATAAGAGTTAATGAATAAAGTAGATTACATAGAAGTGAATAGTGACAGAGATTCCCCATGCTCTGTTTGATACACCTTTTTACATGAAACACCCATCAGACAACAGGCCCTCTAAAAAGCAAACAGATCCATTTAAATGAAGCAAATAATCTGAGCGATGACTGGTGAGTATTCAACAAGAAGCAGCTGCTGATTACATGAAAATAAGGAGACTTTTCAGAGATTCAATAGGCTGTTTTCATTGTCCGACAATGTTTTGCATAAGCAATACAGTAAGAAAAATTGGAAGGACAAACATGACCCTTTTTAGGGAAATACACTTATGATCTGAAATCAAAAAAAGAAAGGGTTACATTTTAAACAATCACTAAAATTAAAACTCACAACTTTAAACATTTTTCTTATTAACATCATGCCCTAAATCTCAGCTTTCTGCTGACATAGTTGTCTTACATTCATTTTCTGCTTTTAAAAACTCCTACAAAATTCTTACAGATTTACAAATTCCTTGTGTTCTTTTTTGCCCAATGAAAAAACACACAGGGTTAGCACTTCAAGATACGTTTTTGTAATTGTATTACAGATTGAAGGAAAGAGAGAAAAACATGAAAAATATACTTGGCCAACAAAGCTAACGAAAAAAATGGCATCTTACATTTTGCATAGTTAATTTTTTTGTGGATTCATATTTTGTACATACATGCAAATGCACATACAGTTGCATATATTATAACTGTTATGGTAGCACTCCAACAATTGCTGTGGGAATGTTTAAGAAAGATTATTCTCAACGCTAACGATTCCAAAATTTATCTCAATACACCCTCCCACTGCTGACAGTTTAGCAGGTGTTCTATTGCAACAAGCAGCAGTTCAGCTGCCACCTGGTAGGCGTAGGCTGACTTATCAGCATTCAGCACATTTTCACTTCTATCACTTTGAGCCATGAGAGATCACAGCCTGGTTCTCTCTATTCACTTTCTCACTGAATCCCATTAATTACAATTACACTCGGGTACAGGCTGCTTCCTCTAAAGACGAGGTGACAGAACCAAACTTTAACTGTTTGTAGCCTTTTTTTTGCCTTTTTTTTTTTAATTATAATATAAGAATAATTAGACACCAAAATACAAAAAGTCAACTCCCTTACTCCACCTCAAATGTGGGGTACTGAAAATAAGAACACTATTTTAAACACCAATCCTGAAAATTATACTGTTCAGAGTAATGTTCTGTAAATCCAAAACTATAAATCTAGTTTAAAACCTTCCAGCTTGGAAAGTTTTGCCTGACAGTTTATGATAAAGCACAAGGCTATGAAGGGAATCAGTACTTACCTATATATTTCAAAAACTGAACTCAGCAACTACATTTCCATATGATAATATATCATTCAGAAAACAAACTACTTATTTTGTAAGCAATTTACTCAAAAAAAGCTTGCTTTCCAAGGAAGGTAGTATCATTCTAAATGCCTACATTTCTTCAATTTTACACTTAGATTAACTCAAGCATGAAAAGTGAAGTGATATTCCAAAAATGCATACATCAAATCAGTGGCTTCTTCCCACCTGTGCTGCCAACAGGGTTATAACACAGAGGTGCTCTGGTTCTTGCTGAGCACGTCTGACACAGCATCAAGGCCTCTTCTGCTCCCTGCACCTCCCTGCCAGTGAGGAGGCTGGGGATGCACAAGCAGTTGGGAGGGGACACAGCTGGGACAGCTGACCCCATGGCATCGTGCTCAGTATACAAAGCTGTGATAAAAAGATGGCACAGGTTTTGTTTGGAGTGATGACATTTGCTTCCCAAGCCACTGTTACATGTGACAGGGACCTTGCTGTCCTGGGCATGGCTGAACACTTGCCTGCCCACGAGAAGCAGTGAATTAATTCCTTGGTTTGCTTTGGTTGCTTTGCGTAAAAAATTACTTTGTTTACTTTGCCAAATGATTTGGGTTTTGCTTTCCCTATTAAACCATCTTTATCTCAACCCACAAGTTTTCCAGCTTTTACCCTTCCAATTCTCCCCCCAGTTCCACCAAAAGGGAGTGATCAAGCACCTGTGTGGTGTTTAGCTGTGCAATAATACAGATGAAAATATTCACTTAAATTATTACTATTCATATTCCACCATATTATTTTTCTTGTTTTTCTCTCTTACCTTCAACCTATAATACAATTAGAAAATTATTTACTTAAGTTATTACTATGCGTAAAGTTTCACACAGTTAAAAAAACATCACCTACACCAGACAGAAAGCACTGTGTTATCCTATATTCTAGGCTGGGGAACATGTTCTTGTCAAATGTTTATTCTGCCACGACTAGCACTTAAAAATAATCATTCACTCTTTGTCTATTATGTTACAGCTTTTAAAATACTTTTTAAGTTAAATACCAGTTATTTTGGCTTTATCCAACCCTAAATCTTTCAGACCTTGCTACTGATAAAGTTACATTTAAATTGAAAGCATGGAAATAAATGAAGAAATTTTGGTAATGTCTTAGAAAAAAAATCACAGAAACTTTTACAATGAAGACTGTGATGGTTACAAGTGTGCAATGCTAGAAAATTCCAAGCTAAATTATATAAAAGTTATAATACATCTTTTTATGCAGTCATTGCCAAAAAAAAAAAAATTACCCCACCTTAATATGACAACCTTCATAATAAACACTAACTCAATACATGAAAGCAGAGGTTAAAAAAAAACACTAATGTACCTTGTCAAAAGGAATTCCATAATTTTTCAATATTGATGGAGAAATCAGAGTTATCTTGTGGCGAAGAAAAGCATCACATCCTTGAGAGCTGCTTGGGAAGAACCCTAAGAAGGCAAGATAAGCAAAACTGTGTATCTTTTCATTAAAATAACTAGGAAATTACTTTACAATACTTAATACTGCTTAAACTTGCTTTGTAATTTTTTATCATGCCATTCCTAGGTTCTGAGAGATTTTCAAAAATCAAATGTACCTCCTAAGTTTTTCAACTGCTTTTCACGGGGAGGGGTTACAGAGGTTTGTGTTGTCTTTGTTTGTTAAGAAGTGAAATACTTTAAAATAAATCTGGACCTGTAAATTTAGGCATATTTTCTTCCCTTTTAGAGAAATATATTATTGTTGGGGACTTTTTTTTTTTTTAGATGTTAAATTCATTTTGCACACACGACAATCAACTACAGTAATAAATTTGGAAGGATTCCACAAGCTCTAGGTTTACCTAGCACTTACAAACCATCTACACAGTAAAAAAACACAACTTTCTAATTAGGTGTTTGTACAATTTTTTGTATCCATCTTGCATAAATGTTAATCATTCACAGAAGCAATTTAATTCTTGGAGCAACACACTCACTACTCAATTATAAATAAAAAAATAAAAAACTCCAAATCATCACTTTCAACCAACCATCTTGAGGAAGAAAAAAAAAAATAACAAGAATTTCCCATAATACATAGCCTTCTCTGTAATTTTAATTTCTTCACTCTGGTGAGTCTTAAATATATTTGTCCCTTAACAACCCTAAAAGTTTAGAACAATTTTAAGGTGATCACAATATACTTGTTATATTCTTTGTACATTTAATTCTAGCGCACTCACCAGTACCAGAAGAAAATTCTTTTTCTGATTTCTCAGAAATAAGGTTAAGCAGCATTTAAGCATCAAAGGTGTAATATGGACTTCTGTTGATCTGTACTAGGAAGTCTGCTAAGCTGCCCTGAGATCAAATTTTATTCAAATTCATCCTTTTATTTTTTATCACCACGCATACAATTCTTTACTCTCTTCCAAAGCTATAAATAATGTTCTAACGTTCAAAAGTACTACTTGATAAGTACTGTTTTATCGTGTATGTTTGGTTTCACTGACTAAAAGACAGTTAAGAGAAGCTGGCCTACAATTAGTGGACTGCAACATTCAACTATTTGGGCACAATTAATGCCTATAACATGATAGCAATCATAACTTAGAACCCACAGTTTATGAGACTCAAGAAATCTTGGTCCTGACTGACATAATAAAAGACATATACTGGAACTTACTGTGAAAAATGTGATTGAAAGTGATACTTGAGACATGAGGAAAGAGCTAGTATGAAAGGTAGCAAAAAGCTTAATTTCTAAAAGCAGAGAAAGTTTGACTGAATTTTCCTTGAGAAAACAAATTTTGTACCAAATTCTGATACTGAAATGTTTAATTAGCTTGATACGAGATGATAAAAAGCAAATGATGGGCTGACATCCAAAACTTAAGTTGTATCACTACAACTCCAAGAGATCAGAAATAGTTGTGACAAGTCCAACCAGAAGGCAAGCTTGTTGCTGAATTCCAAGGAAGCTGCAAATAACACAGAACAGCAGAACACAACCTGCTCAAAATCCAATACAAGACATTTACAGGAAAACGTTTGCTGTGGTTACAGAGCCCTCGCAGTGAAATCAAAGGTGCAGCCTACACATTCTGTACCACTATAAAATATCTTTTGACTTGCCAAAGTCTACACTTACACAAAAATATTTTTCAGCCTCATTCACCTCATTTTCTCAAAAGTACTCCCCTTCAATGAACAAGGAAAGAAAGGAAGGTAGTATTTTCTCCTTACAAGACTCTGTTTATCAGAAGGTCTTTTGTTCTGCCAGGCTAAATGTAAGGTCACAAAAAGTTTTCTGTCAGAAAAGAAAATCCCTGTGGAGAACTGCTGAACAGATGTAAAAATACCTAAAAGCACACTGAATAGCAGACTTGCATTAGAAATATTACAAGACCCTTACAAAAACATTAAATGGAAGCCAATTCTAGATACACCTGCAACACCCAGAACCATTCTCAAATACCAAGCTGATGTTAAAACTACAAATTTACAGAATTACTATTTAATCCTGCATGTTTATTGAAATCCCACATCAAAAAAAAGTACTGAAATCTATCTAGAATGTAACTACCATTCAAGTTCTGTAATACATTCTCATGCTTTTAAGAGATACATGAAATCTTAATTTAATCCATTAACACTAACCATTAATTATAAATTAGTTCTATAAGAGCAGGTATTTTGTAGGAATTGGCATGCAACTCCATTTTCTTGGATGGTCTCTTAAGACATGGCAGAACTGTATCCTATTCATCTTCTTGGAAATAATTACACAGAAATAAGATGACAATTCAAAATAATTACTTGACATGAGCCAGTAAATAATAATCAGAGATCAGGATAAAACTGAATTAGGTTGCCCATTGATTTATGCCCATTAGGAAAAGACCATCAAATTGAAAACTCTGTAATCCATGATTTACAGAAACACTAACATTCTCAACACCTAGAGCAGAATTAGAACACTCTACAAGGTAAGTATGTGATTCAACACTTGGTGGCCAAACATTTGGGCGTGAACATATAAATACAGGAAGTGCACATTTTTCTACCAAAGTCAAGGTCCCTCTCTGGCTTTTTAAAATCCTTATCTCCTCCTCACGAACAACAATAGCACAGAGTATGTGAAAGCACAGGCTGAGAATTTGCTAACAATCAAAACCATGTCCTTAGAAGACTCTTTATACATGTTCTGACAGATACCGCAGCCCAGAAAGTCCAGTCTTACCAACACCATTTGTAATAACAAAATGAAACTAATTCTTTAGTTACAACAGTATCACTTGGCTGGTGAAGATACATCCTTTGTCAACGCTATTCCACCTCAGTGTGACGCTTCCATACCATTTCTGGTTTTATAACCCACACATATGCTAGATAGAAGTCAAAGCCTGTAGACACTCACCAGATTCCTAGCTGTGGATCCTTGTGGATCCTTTCCAACTCACAATACTCTGATTCTGTGACTGAGAATTCAAATGCACTGTAGTGCTGCACTGAGAGTCTAAGTGTACATTAAATGGTTCAGGGATAAAGAACATATTTTAAAAAATAAGTTCCAATCTATAAATTGCTGAGGGACAATTGCTACCTGGAAGGTTCATTTTTTCTTTCCACCCTGAGAGTATCCTTACTACATATCACAAGCAACTTGCATCAGACAACCACACCTGTCACTCAGGCAAACTGAAGTGGATTGGATTCCATTCCCTGATTGATAAGCATTTTCAAGATATCTGGAATGCTTATCTGTGGCACTAAGAATGTGTCCATAATATCTTTAATTAAGCTATTCAGGTAAAATCATAAAGGGACAAATTACAATACTATTCCCAAAAGAGTAATAACTCTATTATACTGAACAGGTTGATTTGCTATATAGTACCTTGTATGATTAACGATATCACAATTTGGCTAATAATAAAGTAATTATTTAAGCACACACACATAAAATCATATTCTTAGGGAACTTTCAAATCAAATTCTGACCAGTCAGTGAATGAGGCTACACTTTCTGTAAATTTTCTACACTTCCATACTCAAGACTTCACCTGAAATATTACAGTGAAAGTGCTGCATTCCTAGTTTATTATTTAAAATTTTAAAAATGAAAATACAAAACAACGTAAGAAAGAGAATACCCTAAATTGCAAATATCTTTACTGAAATTTAATGTTAATAAAATTAAAAATAAACCAAATTAAAGCAATTAGGCTCAAAGTTATCATATTTTTTTATTTATATAGTTAATATTTTAAGGACCTAGAATAATACAAAATATTACTTTTAATTCACAGATCAGTACTCTTGAAAACACTTTGCAGTGATTTAAACTACTTTAACTTTCTGTGATGAACATAAAAGAAATTAGGAGGGTAGGTTTGCATGACAACAATCGTCGCAAAGAAACAATGGTAATCCGTATGCTATACAAAGCACAGAGTACAAAACCCACAAAACAGTGGTTTTCAAGTGCTAGGAAATATGACTGTCGGTATGCCCAGATGAATACATTCAATGAATACATTTAAGTTTATTATCTCTTAAATGCAACTTTCCTAACTGGACTCATATCAGTTGAGAGAAAGTTCAATTCTTCAGCTGCTCAAGTTTTCAAATTCAAGACCCTTAGAAGTTACACAAGTTCTGCTTCCAATACCATTTCAACAATTATTTTGTATTTATTTTCAGACCTAACAGGTAATGACTTCTGCATGAAATGAAGTAATTAATACTATACACCATACAAAACTTTTTTATAACAGCCCTATATACTTACAGTATATTAAACTTTACTTTAGTTTCTTCTTTAACATAACTGAACACCACAGATAGATGTCATCTCCTTTTTAAAACAGTTTTCTGCACTCAAATGATCTATTAAAAGATCTTCAAAATCCTTCAAACTGTCATTTTTCATTTGGTACTCTGCTTCTGGTCTCTTTATTTTCTAACCCATTTTGTGAAACAAAAAATCCTTAAGAATACCATAGTATTCCAGATTAACATAACAGCAAGTATAAAAATTGCAGTTAACAGCTCACTTGAGATTTTTATTACATTTATGTCTACATAAAATTGAAAAAAAAATCTACATAAATGAGAAAGCAGCTGAAGGGCAAAATCAAACTGTTGTCTTTATTAGATGCAAGCCTAATGTCTTTCAGATATAGCATTTGTAGGCACCACAGTCAATCAAGATTTCAATGGAAAATAAAAATGAAAGCATTCATGCACAAAAGGCATGTGTGGTAATTGTGATGTGCAGACAAGATAATGTAAAATATTCTAGCCTTCCTTTAATTTCATGTATCAACTTCTGCCTTGATTTAGACAGCCTGTCACATTTAATGTATTATTTTATTATTTTAATTATTTAGGAGCATTTGATTAATTCAGTAGGTATCTGGTCATCAGAGCTAACCTTGAATAAATTAGGGGTTTTCCTTCAAATGTTGTACTCATGCAAAAATATTATTAAAAATATTTTCAATTTTCCTGTCATTAAGTATGAAGGTCTCATTTACACTATGTTTTATTAATGTTTGCTCTCAAGTGACTTGCAGTCACGCAGCTTACTTTTTATTTTCACCTTTGTAAGATACCTTACTGTAAAATTCAGTCCGAATTTTAGGAGGCAGCAGCTGCAAAGTAGATCACAGAGGTCTTAACTGCTACAGTACGGAAATAATAAGAAATGGTCCATCATCTTTATTGTTAAGTACTACAGTATCATCTTCTATATTCCATTCTCAGCTCTTAGCTGGACCCAAATTATCATGAGAACAATCTACTCACAGAAAAATACCCAGAGGACATTAAAATTGAATGCTAAACTCTTAGTTTCATGGACAACTCTCTTTAACATTTCCTAATTCACCTACGTTATACTGCTGTTATAATCTCTCTATGAGGACGCAGTTTTCTTATGCAAATCTAGTTTCAGAGAGTGAGCATAATGGAATAAACCCTATTTTAAATTTTATCATCACTCTTCAGTATCTGATTCTACAGTTTAGTTGCTATTTACTATTCAAAACACAGTCATGAAGGAAAAATAGGTGAGACTGAAGTCCTAAGTGCATTCAGCCTGTTGTCCAATTCTGACTCTAGCATTTAGACATTAGGATATGATATTGTTCCCCCCAGTATAACCTATTGGCTTCTGAAAAACAGTGGGTTTGGAGATCTCCATTTCTCCCCATGCTTAATTATGTTCCTTTCCTATTATTTTTGTAGGCCACTATCAGCAGCAAGAGGCCTGAGTACCTTCAGACCACTTTTCTAACATGATGTTTTGTTTTTCCTTGAAGCAAAACATGTATCTCCACAAGTTACCTACTTCCTGAATTTGTACAGGTTAACCTAGGTTAATCTAGGGAAATTAAGGTATTCCAAAGAAAAATCTAAAGGGTTTCTTTGGCCTGCAACAATCAATGCCATGCCTCAATGCCACTTCATTTTTAGAAATGAGTGAACAAGCACTGCTGAAACTGCCCATCCTCTTCCCTCACTCTGAAAATAAAACAAAATTAAACCCATGCTCACAGATTTCACAGAATATTCTGAGTAGGAAGGGACCCATAAGGATCATAGAGTCCAACTCATAAGTAAATGACCAATATGGGGATCAAACCCAAAACCCTGGTGTTATTACCACCACGCTCTAACCAACGGAGCGAATCTCAGTGTTTTTACAGGACATTTAAGCTTGAATGGTTTTAAAACACTGCACAGCTACAATCACGCAACATGAAATCCACAATAAACACCAGAAGAGCCATTTCACATCAAATAAAAAGAATATCTATCCAAAGATCTTGCTCCTATCAAATATTAAATGTATGTGTGCAGAGAAGTGTTTACATATAGCATGAGCAGTTTGCCTTCTCTGACTAACCTAGTACCAACCAGATGCTGCTCCAAACCTTACAAAGCCAATGGCAGCTCCTAAGCTTCTCTAACAGATAAAGGTGCCAGTGTTGTCCAAACTCCACCAGAAGCCATGAAAAATCTCAGAATCCACCATGGATGGGGAGGAATGAATGCTGTGAAAAAAAAAAAAATCTCCTTGCGTTTGCTTTGAGCCTGCTAAGACTCTTCATCTTTCACCAGTCCTAGTGTCCCTCTCTTAAACTTTTATAATTCTCTACTCCATTTGCTCTTTTATTATTTCTTGTAAATCTTAATTATTGAATCATCCTATCATAAGTCAGCATCCATTGTCCAGTCTATATGTTTCAATTTCTTTACCAGGGAAAACTAAAAGCTTCAGGTTAAGTGTATACGGAGTTCTATATTTTGCAAATTGGAAAAAGAACCTGGAAAGCAACTGACAACTTTTTCAACTGAAACTACAGTGAAATTTAGGAATAGGAAATCGTTGAAATCTGTTTTCTTGGGATGTGCTTTC